AACCAAGGAGAAGCCACCCCCACCGCCCCCTGGTGGGGGGAAAGACCTGTTCTATGTAAGCCGTCCACCGCTGGCCCGTTCCTCGCCGGCATACTGCACAAGCAGCTCGGACATCACAGAGCCAGAGCAGAAGATGCTGAGTGTCAACAAGAGTGTCTCCATGCTGGATTTGCAGGGTGACGGGCCCGGCGGCCGTCTCAACAGCAGCAGTGTGTCCAACCTGGCGGCCGTTGGGGACCTGCTGCACTCGAGCCAGGCTTCCCTGACAGCGGCCTTAGGGCTGCGGCCTGCGCCCGCTGGACGCCTCTCCCAGGGGAGTGGCTCGTCCATTACAGCGGCTGGCATGCGCCTCAGCCAGATGGGTGTCACCACGGACGGTGTCCCTGCCCAGCAACTGCGTATCCCCCTCTCCTTTCAGAACCCTCTCTTCCACATGGCTGCTGATGGGCCAGGCCCCCCAGGGGGCCACGGAGGGGGTGGTGGCCATGCCCCTCCCTCCTCCCATCACCACCATCACCACCATCACCACCACCGAGGTGGAGAGCCCCCCGGGGACACCTTTGCCCCGTTCCATGGCTATAGCAAGAGCGAGGACCTCTCCTCAGGGGTCCCCAAGCCCCCCGCCGCTTCCATCCTTCACAGCCACAGCTACAGTGATGAGTTTGGACCCTCTGGCACCGACTTCACCCGTCGGCAGCTCTCACTCCAGGACAACCTGCAGCACATGCTGTCCCCTCCCCAGATCACTATTGGTCCCCAGAGGCCCGCCCCCTCAGGGCCCGGAGGTGGGAGCGGTGGTGGGGGCAGTGGTGGGGGTGGCGGGGGCCAGCCGCCTCCATTGCAGAGGGGCAAGTCTCAGCAGTTGACGGTCAGCGCTGCCCAGAAACCCCGGCCATCCAGTGGGAATCTGTTGCAGTCACCGGAGCCGAGTTACGGCCCTGCCCGTCCGCGGCAACAAAGCCTCAGCAAAGAGGGCAGCATTGGGGGCAGCGGGGGCAGCGGTGGCGGAGGGGGTGGGGGGCTCAAGCCCTCCATCACCAAGCAGGTACGTGAGGGTGGGAGGAAGGCCAAGTGGGTGAGGGCCAGGGAGGGAAGAAGGAAATGGGGTGGGGAAGTGGGGGCAGAATAGAGTCTGTGGTCTGAAGGTACAATTTTCTCACCCCTTTTCATTCATTAAACAAGTGTATGTAGAGTCCCTGCTATGCGCTACGTCCTGTTCTAGGCGCTGTGGATTCAAGGAGATCAACACTAGAGCAGGGGAACAAGGTTGGGACGGTCATCTCCTTTGGCAGCGCTGTCTCCTTCTAAATGCACCCTGCCTTCTCCCACCTTTCCTTTCTATTCACCCCCACCTTGCCCCATCCCAGCATTCTCAGGCGCCATCCACGCTGAACCCCACAATGCCAGCCTCCGAGCGAACGGTGGCCTGGGTCTCCAACATGCCTCACCTGTCAGCTGACATCGAGAGTGCCCACATCGAGCGAGAAGAGTACAAGCTCAAGGAGTACTCTAAGTCGATGGATGAGAGCCGGCTGGACAGGGTACGCCGGGCCCCTGACCTTCCCATTACCCACAGGGGAAGCCTCTAGATGCCTCCCAGGGATGTACCCAGGGTCAAGTAATTACGGTAGAAAGAAGAGACAAAGACCTGATCCCCTTCCGTGAGAAGCCTTCAGTGTATCAGGGGAGGCTGTCGACAGTCAGTCTATCGGAAGGCCAACTTCCAGCTTTATTTTGTGGCGTGTCATAGACTGTCTGGGGAGAAAGATTCTATATTAAGGTTTATTTCTGTGTTCTTCCCCAGGGGGGAGCATAAGCCCTGGCTCTTGTGACTACTCGGGAAAGGGGAAGTGGATTTGCCAGCAGTGTGAGCTGATAAATTGGGCAGGGAGCACAGCAGTTCCAGTTACACTACAAGCGATGTCCAGCTTACCCAGTCATTGTCCTGTGGGCATAGGGTGACAGAGGGTCGGTGTTGGAAAGTGGCATGACTTGGCCTGTGTGTGGAAAAACCGTCTGGACTCTCAGCTTGGTGATGCCCAGAGCAAAAGACAGCAAGAGCTCAGGGGCACACACAGATGACTTAGCAGAAAGTTCCTTGGGGAAGCTGTTGCTCCAAGGGCTCTGAAGAAGAGGGTAGCTGTAAGATTAGGTTATTGTGAAGAATGTCTGACTCCAACCTGGGTGGAGCAGAGAGAGGTTTCTTGGGGCATGTGGTCTTTGAGCATAAGAAAATGTCGGGACTGATCTAGGTGGACTCGGTATAGCAAGTTCCATGAGAGAGTCGAGCTCTGATGCATCAAGGTAGCCAGCTCAGGTAATATATAACGTCTCTGCTTTGCATCTAGAATGGGGTTCGTTATGTATGTATTCTCTCTGGAGAATGAGAAAATACTCTCCTAAGTCATTTTTTCTGTTCTATGGCTTGGGTGAGATATTTTTGTTGATGAAGGCTCTAGACTAGTACCGTCCAGTGGAACTTTCTGCAGTAATGGGAAGTGTCCTGTGATTTGCACCGTCCAGCGTGGTAGCCACTGGCCACACGTGGCTGATGCAACCAAGGAACTGAATTTAAAATTTTTTAAAAATTTTAAATAGCCACTGTATCAGATAGCACAGCTCTAGGCTCTAGAGCCAACAGGGCAGATAAAAATGACTCTTCTGTGCCCTTCCAGCCCCAGAATTCCAGGATCATTATCAACAGAGAGGCATTCCTAGATTCTCATCCTCGACTTGTTTGAAGCCCAGACCCCTCCCTGACCCCACATCGCCTCTTCTTATCTGATGTCTTTTCTTCCTGGGTCTCCCTAATGTGCCCTGGTTGGGTTGAAGAGTCACCTTAATGTTTAATTTCTGTGCACAGTCCTTCAAGGTGTGTCCGTGAGTCTGTGTGGGTCCTCACGTGTCCAGATTTACATGTGATGGCGGGTCTGTGCTTCTCGGTGTAGGAGCATATGACCTTGGTCCATTTTAAAGGAGCCTTGGCTCCATGGAAGGGCCTTCTCAGAAGCTACTATGTCTGGTATGATGAGCAGGCAGGGAAGGGTCTGGAGAAGCCAGCTGGGATGTCCCTCACCATGCAGTGGCTGCTTGGTAGGCAAGGATGGAGACTGGGTGGTGGGGTCAGGGTGAGGCACCCCTCACAGTGCGGGGTCGTGTGCCCGGCGGGCAGGTGAAGGAGTATGAGGAGGAGATCCACTCACTGAAGGAGCGGCTGCACATGTCCAACCGGAAGCTAGAAGAGTATGAGCGGAGGCTGCTGTCCCAGGAGGAGCAGACCAGCAAAATCTTGATGCAGTATCAGGCCAGACTGGAGCAGAGCGAGAAGAGGCTAAGGCAGCAGCAGGTGGAGAAGGATTCGCAGATCAAGAGCATCATTGGCAGGTGAGGGGCGGCCTGGGGAGGGGTAGCAAGGGAGAACCTGAGGCTGAAGAGAGCCAGTGAGCTCCCCCTTTAGCCTCAAGCCCCAAACTCAGGGTCCCATGAGGAAAGCCCACCACCCCACTCCCAGAGATTGCCACCCATTCACCGGTCACCCGATGGGGAGAAACCTCTTGCTTAGTGCACAAGTGTTCCTCTCCCAAACCCTGATCTCTCTCCTGAGAGACTGACCTTTGAAGCCCTTGGAAAATGTGCTTGTTACCGTCCATTACTATGTGTCTGGCCCCAGCCTAGGCTGCAGCCTCCCACTGGTTATTCTCAACCTAGCCTGTGATGTTCTCCCCAAAGTGAGGCAGAGAGCCCCAGCCAGAGCAGTCCCTGGCTATCCCCATCCTCGGTAAACCCTTTCTCTCCAGCCTTGAAAAGGTGCTCTGTTAGAAAGTGAATGACCCTCCTTTGAGTGGAGTGCGTGCACACTTGCACTGCTCTGCCAAGCCCTGGCCTCCAAAGAAGGTATCCTGGCAAGGTGGTTAGCTGTCCTGGGACCCCACGCCCCACTCAAATCAGGGCCAATCCCACTTTGGTTCACTCTGAATGTATTTTTGAGTAAGATTGATTAGAAGGAGAAAGGCCTGACTTGAAACTTGTTTTCAAACCCTTCTCTAATTGATATCCTCGGCGAGAAATCACCTTGAGAGCCTTCATCAAAGGCAGGGAGATGCGGGGAATGATGATTGTCGACACTGCTCTTGGGCTAGGGGTGTCCCAGGGGCTGTACTGGAGATGGCCTGGGTTCGGGGACATGGAATGGGAAATGCAGAAGCTCAGCTACAGAGGGGCAGTGGGAGGGCACCATCCTGAGTGGGAGGACGGAGTGCCGGGGGTGTCTGCGTGGCGGAGGTCTTCGAGGCCCAGAAAGCTGTCCTTAGCACGGGAGAGTCCTTGAGAGGAAGGTTACTGCAGGGTGTCTTTTGGGTCATAATGACGGAAGGATTCGAGGGCAGAGGAGAAGGACTCCCAGGCTTTTCCAGAGAGCTGCAGGGGTTCCCCAGGATCAGGAGTTCCACCGGCAGGCTCCAAGCCCGTGCCCGCCACTAACCCCACTGAAGCCCGTCCCTTCAGGCTGATGCTGGTGGAGGAGGAGCTGCGCCGGGACCACCCCGCCATGCCTGAGCCGCTGCCCGAACCCAAGAAGAGGCTGCTCGACGCTCAGGTGGAAATTACAATGTCATTTATCTTCTCCGTGTCCCATCCCCATCCATCCCACTGTCCTTCGTGCACTCACTGCACCAGCCACCCGGCCCCATCACCATCTGTCTCCCACTGTCCTCCGTTTGTGCTCCCCGGTGACCCCATCTTCATCCCATCGTCTGTGCCTTTGTCACTCCTGGCAGTGTCAGCCCCACCCCTGTGCCTTCCTACCCCGTCTCTCCCGCTCCTCTCTGGGTCTCGGAATCTCCACCAGAACCTCAGTCTCTCTGCCCCCAGACCCCACCCCACCCAGTTCCTGGCACCCCTGCCCTGTCTGTGCCTGCACCTGTTCACCTCGGGAGTTCAGCTTCCTCTGAGCTCATCTTGGGCCAGAAGCGCTAGAGGCTGCAGTTGACTAGACTAGAGCACAGGGCAGGGTGAGTTCCAGTTCCCAGGCTCTGAATGGTCCCCATCACCTCTGTTCTCTTGGCTCCCCAATTTTCCTGTCTCCTGGGCAACTCCCTAATAGCTTCCTCTTCTGACTCTTCAGCTCTTGAAGGCCCCTCTCACCTCGAAAGCTCTCCTTCCCTCAGTATGAAAATCCCTCCCTCTGGTCCTCACACCTGTCTAGCCCTCCAGCTCCCTGCCGCCCTCCCTCTCTCCTCAGCCAGCTTGTAGGACCTCCCCCCTGCACCCTTACCCCTTGCTCACCCCGGTTCTGCTCACTTTCCCACCCATGCTCCTCCTTCCTCTGCTCTGACCGCCAGGCTTCCCCACCACCACCGCCAAGGCTCCTGACCCCGTGACCCCACTCTCTCCCCCTGCAGCTCCTCATCAGGTAATTCTCCTGGTTCCGCTTTGACCACGGGCGGAGGACACAGGGGGAGGTGACTCCGGACCACTGCAGGTTGGTCGTGAAGCCCGCTCCCCTCCAACTCTCTGGAGCCTCTCCCCACCCTCACTGCTGCCCTCCACACCCGAGAACCTCCACAGACCCTACCCTCCTGACACCTCCTGCACAGACCCGGCTCCCAAGGCACTGCCCAAAGAGAGCACTCCCTGCTGCTCCCAGAAATGCTCAGTGACACCCCGCCAACACCAAGCATTTTGCCCTGGACAGGCCTGGCACATCCCCAGATCTCTCCTACAAAACCCGCCGCCCAACCTCCTCTCGGTCCTCTCCCTCTGCCTCTCCGGTGTATGTCTGTCACCCCCCATTTCACCAGAGCGTCCTTGGGAGTTGGGACTTTGGGGGTGGGCTTTGTTAAGGGGTGGCGGTGATGATGGGTTGGGGGACCCTGGCTAGAGGGGCTGTGCTGACTGCAGCAGGTAGGTGGGGGTTTCCCCTTCCTTCCCTAACCTCCGTTCTCCATCCCTCCTTCTACCCCTCACCCGTTTCTCTTCCTCCTCCCTTATATCTGAGTGGAAGGGATCTGTAGCTCCTGTTGGGCCCCAATGGGTGAGAGTTAGGAATGGGCAACTGACTCAGGAAGACTTTTGGGGGGGCTGAAAAGAATGCTGTTCAGGATGTCAGGATACTAGGCAGGGTGAGTGGAACAAGGAGAAACAAAAAAGGAGCCCTGACAGATGTTAGGGTGCAGACGGGCCCATGTGGCGTGGGAGTTGGAAGTGGGGTGAGCCGTCTTCCTAGATAAGATCATGGGCTCAGTAGCCATGTGGATTTCCAGGCAGAGATGCCGGGAACAGCATGTTAAATAACCTGTCCGTCCTTATCGGAGCTCACCCCCCATCTCCCGCCACCCAGTGGCCTTGCCGGACACACGGTCCTACCTAAAACCCAGTAAATGGGAACCTGTCAGCCACTGATACCATTTCTGGGGTGCTTTCTTTTCTGCGGGATTGACCTGCAGTGGGCAGTGGCTCCTCACACTGTAATTTTAACTCTCTGCCTGCCCAGCCTCTCCGTCAAAGTAGTTAGTGATCTGCAAACAGATGCTACGAGTCACCAGGGGACCTCACCACTTGCAGGACTCCTGCCGCGAATTCTTTTGTAAAATGAATAATGGCGCCCTAATTTATCTACTTTCTAAATTTGGGTCCATGGGGGTGTAGGGGGCATGCCTGTGTTCTGTTGCCAGCAGATAGGCAGAGGGAAGGGAATCTGAGGTTCCCTTCCCTGCTCTCCTGCCACACTCAGGATCCCCTACCATACGTAATTTCCTCTCTTGCTGACTTGGGGAAAGTGTGCAAGATGCTCAGCAAGCTAAGAGGGGAGCTTTGCTTAAGGCTGAGGCTTTGGTGACCTTCTGAGAGGTGAGGTCTTTGATTTGAAAGGGAGAGCCGATCTGGGAGCCTCTACTGGGAATGTTTTGTATCCTATAGAGATACGGTTACACAGAACCAGGCTGCTAGGCCTAAATGCCCTGTGGCCCAAGAAACAATTTGGATGCGTTTGTTTTTTTTAACATTTTTTTAAGTGTATTCATTTATTTTGAGAGAGAGAGAGAGAGAGCGCACATGCATAATGAGCAGGATGGAGGGGCAGAGAGAAAGAAAAAGAGAGAATCCCAAGCAGGCTCTGCACTGTCAGCGCAGAGTCTGACATGGGTCTCAGTCTCACAGACTGTGAGATCATGATCTGAGCCGAGATCAAGAGGCTTAACCAGCTGAGAGCCACCCAGGCACCCCTGGACACTTTCTAAATCACTCATAGGTATTGGTCCCTCTGCAATTTAGCCATTGACTTAAAAACTAATTCTGTGCCTGTATTTTAAAAAGCCAAATGAGCAACCAGAAGTATAGAACAGGTGGCTTTCTTCTCTCCTAGCGGAGGAACAGCAGCCAGAGCTGAGGGCAGGAGCCAGAAGCCAGGAGCTGGTCCAGGAGCAGGAGGAGGTGATAGAATAGGACCAGGGGTGGGAGGAGGGTCTGATACCCCTCACCCTCTAACTGGGATCCCAGGCAGAGGGATTGAAAGGATCCTGGGGGCGGAAAGGAATGAAGCAGTTCTGCTTCCTGGGGATGTGGAGATTGTGGCATGCTGTGCCTCTGCAGAAGCTCCCAGTCATTTCTGCCCTTAGCACGAGAGAGAAGCAGCCCTCCCACGATGTTTTTACCATCCCACATGACTTCCCTGAATCCCC